CCCCCCCGTATCATCATACTGTCCTGATAAAAGCGTTGTTTTTGCCCCATCATTTCCTCATCAGAGACCGAAGCTCTGCCTATCTTAATGACGGCGCACCGGTTCCCTCTTTTGAGGAGAGGATTCTGGGAAGAGGGAGGCCTGCAGATCAGAGGGGAGCAATGGCGCAGCTAAACGCCGGTCCGGCTGTTTAGATTCAGCGATGATGTGTGCGATAAAAAAGCTGAAGAAGTAGGAGGGGGGGGGGGAGGATGTGGCTTTAAAAGATATGGCTTTCCTTCCTCTGCTGGCAAGCAGGTATTAAAAATGTTTAAAAAAGAACATCATGAAGATTTCAAAGAATGCTTTCACACAGCATCCTGACTTCCTCTTTTTACTCCCAGATTTATTTTATGAACAAAAAACACAACGATATACACACAAAAGAAAAAAAAAAGATCTGGCTCTGTTCCTTCGCTCTCTGGCAGAGCCGAGGGAAGAGAGAGACACTCCACAGCTCTGATTTCCTGCCCCGAACCTTCGCCGCTTGCCAACGAAAAGAGAAACCTTCCAGTCCGATTCCATTGTGGACTCGGCAACACGATTATCCTGACTCAGGGTCTCCTGATGCCTCGAGAGCTGTGGACACAGCTGAGGGAGAACATGGTATTTACACAGGTTCTGTTAGATTAACTTATTACAGAGCCATTTGGATTTCACAGTGGAGCTTTCAAGGATAAAAAGAACCTTTTGATCACTTTTTTTTCTTATCAAAATGTGCCTGGAAGAGCTTTTTATAAAGTCTGCAGCAGCTGAGTGAAAGCTTTTTGCTGCTCTGTAACAGAATTGAAGAGACCTTTAGTCAGCTTTGTCAAGTTTTTCTTCAATCAGGCTTTTGTTTCCTCGTTGAGCTTCACCTTTACACTGCAAAAACTGTCCACCTAACCAAGTTTTAAAATCTTATATCCAGCCAAAAAGTCTTTTTGATCTTGTTATGAGACTATTTACTAAACAAGAACTGATTGTGTAAAAAAATAATCTTGTTTTCAGCCTAAAAATTTGACTCAAATTAAGTAAAAAAAATTCTGCCAATGGAGTTAGAAAATTTTACTTGGTAAGATCCTTGAAATACTTGATTTGACTCAAATTTTTCTTATTTCAAGAATCTTACCAAGTAAAATTTTCTTACTTCATTGGCAGAAATTTTTGACTTAATTTGAATCAAATTTTCAGACAAGACAAATAATCTCACACATTCTGAAAACAAGATTATTATTCTTACACAATCAGTTCTTGTTTAGTAAATCGGTCTCAAAACAAGACTAAAAAGACTTTTTGGCTGATATAAGATTTTAAAACTTGGTAAGATGGACAGTTTTTGCAGTGTAGCGTCAGATGCAAGAAAAACAGGCCTTTTTTGAAGCTACTTGACCCTAGAAAGAAAAGCATCTTGAAACCGTAACACGTTTTGAATCGATACGGGCAGAAGAGGCAGTAAATGGTTGCATGTTACACATCCACATATAGAAGCTAGGGTGTGTTCACAGCTGACACATTTGGTCTGCTTTAAACGGACCAGAGTTCGTTTCCCTCATTGGTCCGGACCTTTTAAGGGCTCGACACACGGGAGGCGACGTCGCTCGCTCTCCATTCATTTCCTATGGAGCCTGTGCGGTGAGGCGACAATCTCTTGCCCTCCTCCAGCTAAGCGACCGGCGAAAATAGTGCATGTGAAATTTCACGCTCGTACACGTAGACGTGCACACGCGAGCTTGCGACGCGACATATGAAAGTTGAAAAATGTTCAACTTTTGTCGCTGTCGTATAACCAATCAGCAAGGGTTTCATTGACTGACCAATGAGAGGAGAGTATGCTACACACTGCAGTTAGCTAACACTTTCACCAAGTGATTACTAAAAAGCTTTGTGGGAATTTGTTGGCACCAGGGTGAAGTTTATGGTAAGTTTTTCCTCATAAAACTACATCCTGATGTGTGTTTGTTTTTCAATATCATTAGCATCGCAAGATTTGTTTAGTTTACACGTCCGTAATGCACACCCGCCTTCAGAGTCAAGAACCAATCAAATTTTGTGAAGACAAGCGATCTGAGAGCGCGATTCGCAACGCTGTGATCGCTATCGCGTCCCGTGTGTCGGGTTTCACCCTGGCTGCGATGACAGCCGTTAATCGCTGTAGTTTGTCGCTGCCCGTGTGTCGAGCCCTTTACTCAGGTGTGAACCCTGGTGTGGATCAAACAACCGGACTGAGACCCACAGGAATGTTYAAAAACCAGTCTCTGTTCATATTTTACCCACAGTGCTTACAAAGACACTAAATGTGAGTGAAAGCAGACAAACGTCGCAGCCACAGGTGGTTAACTAAACGTAATAGTGTAAAATGTGAGAGTATAAAATATTTCTCCTCGGCGCTACGTTAAGCTGTCTGCTGGAGGAGAGCAGTGCGATGTGAGGAAGAGAACCTCGTCTCCTCAGCAGAAGCCAATTAAAGGAGAGGCTCGTTGTGGATCTGTATTCTGAGAAACCTGCTGCTTCCTTTCTCTTTCTCACTCCTGAGAGCCCGCTGCTTTCTAATCACCAAACCCCAACGCTCCGTCCTGTGGTCTAGGTGAAGGAGGGAGCTGCTTCTGGTAGATTTTGATCAGTTTCCTGTCAGTGTTGCTCCACTTTAACTCAACACACTCCTGTAAAAGAGGATCTAAAGAGTAAATCAGGCTAGTTATTTGGTTCGGAGATGATTAACAGTGGTGCGCAGTGACATAAAGTGGTTAAAAAACTGCTTTATGGACGACTACAGGGAACATAAATAAAGATGTGGAGGTGAGGAGAACAGAAACAACACATCAAAGAGGAGCAGCAGGACCAGCTGACTTGTTCATGCAGGAAAAGAAAAACAGAGAAATGAAAAGAATATTTTCAACCTAGCTTGCATTGGCAATTCATTTTTTAACATGTTACCAAAAGATTAACACCTGAGTAACAAACTTTACAAACAAACTAAACAGGTTTAAAGGAGTTTTATTTTTCTGATTTATGCAGCCAGTCTTTGCTGTGTGAATATTAGCTGTTTATTCTTTTTTTTATGTTTCAGAAATTCATGTTTGTTTTTTCATTGATCCCTGTCATCAACCATGAATTATTAGAATGTATGGCCTGTAATAAAAACCCTGTAATTAACTCAATTATTTTTAATGGCGGCCCATTCCTAATGAAACCAAAATTTATGTGTTATCCTGAGTGTCTTTGCAGGATAACGAGCTAAAAGCCAAAACCCAATGAGCTTCTTTAACGCTGATTAATAAAAACAAAACAAAAACAAACTTAGCACCAAAAAAGATGTAATATTCATACAGTTTTAAAAGTTCTACAAGGTGATAAAAAAAATTCCTGTGAAAGTGCAGTGTGAATGCTTAACGTTGAAAGATTTTTCCTCAAATTGTTTAACAGCAAAACTGTTAGTTAAATTTGAACAGCTGAGTTTTGCTGAAAATAGGAAAACAAAAGTAGACTGCAGCAGAAGCGTGATGAAATTTCCAGAGGGTGAAATAACAGAAAAACAAGAAAAGTTGCAGTTTGTTGCAGAAAGAGCATGTTTGCTGATATAAACAGTAAGAAGCTTAAATTATCACAAAAAGTTAAATTTAGATGAAATAAGCTAAAATTTGCTGAATAGCTAAAGTAGCTAAACGGTGATAAATGGTCAGAAATCAGCTAAAAACAGCATAAAAAGCTTGAATTTAAAAAAAATTAGCTGATGGAAGCCTAAAACGTTTACAAAAGAATGCTGAAAAGAGCAGAAAGACAGCTGAAAAAAGCTAAAATTAGCAACAAAAAAAAAAACAACTATAAAGTTGAGGGAAGCTAAAATTACCACAAAGAAGTTAAAAAAGCAGGACCAGAACAAAAAGTGAAAAGTACAGTAGAGATTTATAAACATTTTGAAGGGTTTTAAAGATGATGAAAACAGCTCCATTCATTTCACAATTAAAAAAAAAACAGCAGAAAAAGCTAAATAGCTGAAAAAGTAAAAGTTGCTGAAACACCAAAATTCAAAGCATCCCTGGCATAAATGAGCTGAACATTTTGATTTGAGCACAAAATTGTGGAACGAGTTAGATGCTGAAAAACGTACAGAAAAAAATAGATCTGAATAGTTTGAAGCCTTTATTAAATTCACACAGTAACTGCAGATTTGTGTCTAAAACACTCAGATAAATCTAATCACTTAGTCTTTTTGATCACTCCTCCTCGGACCAGTGGTGGGATGTAACTAAGTACAAGTACTTTGTTGCTGTACTTAAGTACATTTTTCATGTATCTGTACTTTACTTAAGTAGATTTCATCATGGGTACATTTTTCATGTATCTGTACTTTACTTAAGTAGATTTCATCATGGGTACTTTTGACTTTTACTCCACTACATTTTACATTAAGTATCTGTACTTTCTACTCCACTACATTTTACATTAAGTATCTGTACTTTCCACTTCACTACATTTCTGTAGAGAGTTGAATTACAAATTACATTCATGTCACGTCACATTTTTGTGTGTGTGGTTTATTTGTTCTTTTAGTTTGAAAGTAATCAGTGGCGACAAGGGGAATTGGTCCATTGAACCACTGCAAAACAGTAAGGTACCATTAGACCCTTCTCCATAAAAAAAGCAGAGCATCAGTATGCCCACGATGGTTTCCACCACAGAGGAAATGTGCCATTCATGGCCTTATTTAAAAGACTTATTCAAGTTAACTGGTTAAAAAATGACTTGTTGAGATTTGATAGAGGAGGTTGGTGGTGAATTTACAGCTTCTGTTGTCACAATCTGTGATGATGCACAGAATCACAAGTCCAAGTGTGAAGTTAAACACAAAAATATGCATTTTCTGCAGCATTCTTCACTAAAATGACATTATTGATGTATTAAAATATACATACAGTAGGCACACTTCATGATATTGTAGACCATTAGGGAATACGATAAGCAAGTACTTTTACCATATTTTTCGGACTATAAGCCGCAAATTTTTTCCTGAACTTTGAGCAATGCGGCTTATAGACCGGTGCGGCTTATTCATGGATTTTTTCTTCAGCCACCAGTGGGCTCTTATGCTCCATTTGCTTCAACCACTCGCTTCGAAAAAAGAAAGGAAAAAAAAAGAAGAAAAAAGCGATCGCTTCCAGAGCAACTGTTGTACCAGGAAGCAGCGATTTAAAGATAGTCAATGGCCAAAAACTCATAAAAGGGGATAAAACAGACATTTTTCACGGTGGAATCTGACTGAYAAAAACTTTGGAGCTTAATCCAGGACCAGTTTGTGGATAAACGTCGACTGAAGAGCCGCTGACTTTTTTTTTCCTCATTGCACTCCCCGGGGAAGGAATCCCATGCAGTGACATATGCTGGAGCGGGAGGGCTTTCCCACCACAGCTTCAGAGCCAGCATTACCACGGGAGGACAGCGACACAGAAAGCAACACTGAACAGATACAGCTATGTGACGCAGCTTTTCTCAGCTTGTTTAACTCCGACACTGAAGAGGAGGACTTCGATGGTTTCAGTGAGCCGGAGGACGATGAGACGTTTTGTTGGACCAGAAACTGTTAAAGAAAACTACCAAAATAAGGTCAGTTAAATGAATCGTATTCCTCCGAACTTTAATTCCTAAAGGTTTGCTTTTTATGTTGAATTCACTTTTTTGACGGCAAATTTGGGTGTACTGTTTTTTTATGTTGGGGGTGCGGCTTATAGTCCGGTGCGGCTTATAGTCTGAAAAATACGGTACTTTGAATACTTTAATTATTTTTAAAAGTTTACGAGCTTACTTTTACTCGAGTAAAATGTTAATGTGGTAATTTTACTTTTACTAGAGTAAATTCTTGTCTGTTTATCTGTACTTTTACTTAAGTACAGTGTTTGAGTACTTTCTCCAACACTGTCTCAGACCTCCCTGTATTTTTTCCACTGTTTAAGAAAAAAAGGGGGGTGGGGGCTTGGCTAAATGTCAAAGTAAGATTTTTCCCCCTTCTCTTTATGCCACTCTGGCATGTAAGTGTGATTTCCTCCCTCAGAGACAAAATCCCCTTCATGGCAAAGCCTAACAAAACATATTCAAGCTACAGAGTTCAGGCTTCAACAGTGAAGCAGAAAAAAAAAAACAACAACTTGGAGCTTCCAACGTACCGTTTTTCTCTCTCATGCTCCAGCTTGACTCTTAAATCCTGTTGAGAGAAAAAGAAAAACAACAGAGCCGTGTTATGGAGGTGGAAAGTTACAACGACTCAAGGCTGCTGAATAAATGAAAGTAATAAACTGGAGATGGATTTAAAGTGACTTTTTGTGTTTTGTTTTGTTTTTTGTTTTATATTTTTTCCTCCGWAACACAAGGAGGACATGACACGCCGTTCGCACTCGCTTCAAAGTCAGAAGCGAAGGGGGGCAGGAATCTGCAGGAGCCTGGAAGTCTGCATGAGGTCATTTTGATAAACTAACACTGTCATCATATCAACGAAGGAGATTGGGTGAAAATTAGGTGGGGGTGTGTGCAGGGGGTGGGGGGCGGTTTACCCCAGCTCAGAGGAAAAGAAGCTCGCCGAGCGGAAACTCTCTCTGCTCGTCGCAGTTTGTTTATGTCTCGTCATAAACACTGCTGCTTTAAGAGGATTTGCCAATTATCATTCCACAGACGGCGAACAAATGCATGAGGAAACAGCCTCCGAGAGCATTAGGAGGTGACTGAACGGAATTAGGTTTTAGAGAACACTGAGGTTTCTCACATTAGTGTCAGCTGGCTTGAATTGGACTCAGGATAAGCAGCTTTCTGTCTCATCCTGCAGGCCGTCAGTCCAGTGAAGCAGATCAGAACGTCTGAGGTGTTGTGTTTAAATCATCACAGTTACAGTAAAACATCTTCTTTTAAAACTGAGAAGATATTCAAGTATTGAATTCCTTCTCAGCTTGAAGAGTCTAAATCTGATCAGACTGAATTTATGCTCATCACCATTTATTCTAAAGACAMCAAAATTTATAGTTATACACTGAGGATCCAATTATAATTACACAGAAAACCTACTAAACTAAATGTAATTTTAAGCACTTTTTTCACATAACTGCGTGATTAATAAAAATTGGTTTGACTAATTAAATGTTAAAACTTTATATGACTTTAAAACATCCAACCTGTTGTTAGCTCTTTAAACCGCACCGGTTTGGACAAATAGTTTAATTTTGACTGAACTGACCAGCTAACGGCTTGTCTGAATGGAAGCAAAGTTTTTAAACAAAATCCAATCTCATAAATGTTCAGACACCATTTTATTAATCTTTACATTCTCATCAGTTTTGCCTTATTATTATTTTTTGACGATTATTTGCAAGAGCCAGCAGCAGCAGCAGCTAGCTGTAGCGCTTCTTTTGCAGCCTGGCGGCACTTTGCTGTCGTTTTATTAAACAAATATCCACTTCGGTCCTGGCCCTGCTCGGACCAGCCTCTAGCTCACAAATGTGGTCAGAATTTAACTCAGTTTCTCCAGACTGAGGTTGTTCAAACAGCTATCTACAGGTAAGATATTAACTGCTCACACTTTCCCACAGAACCCTGGCCCTTTAAACCATTTAGTCTGAAGTGTGATGATATCAGACGTGGTGTTTACCTGTTTATACAGTAACGTTCTGATCTTGGGCTTGTGGATGCTGTGCTGACTGGAGTAGCTGCCCAAAGCGGCCAAGTCCTTCATGATGGAGTTCAGCGCCTCCTCGTCGTCTAAAAAAACAAACAAAACAAAAAGTTATATTAGAGGTTGAATAAAGAAACAGAATCAGAGATTTTTAAAAGTTCACGAGCTTTTAACTCCTTTTATTGGTTACATCAGGGCCAATCCTGTTCTGCTACCATCAGTAGAGATCCCACTAATGGAAACATTACAGTGATTTTGTTTTTTTTTTTTAAAGAAAAACAGAAACAACACAAACGCACCAGACAAACAGATCTTCAGCATCATTATTTTATGATTAAAGGCTCAGGATCTCTTATACTGTTTTTTTTTTTTAACCAAACAAGTATGATCCCTCAAATATTTGTTATTCTGTTGCGAAAGCTCTGAAGAGGCGCAGATGTTTAATATGCAATCCTGCCACACAAAGCAACCACACTGCCCTGGGTTCAGTTATGAAGCACTCTGGTGTTTAATTTTATGTAACTGTGGCCACTTAAAGACTAGACTTCATTGAGTCTTAGTCTTTTTTCGCACTGACTGATCCAGAATCAAAGGTGGCGCTAGCTACAAACAATAATTTAATATTTTCTAAAGAAAAAGCACAAGTCGTGACACACACTCTCACATGTAAACGAGGCCATCATGCAGATGAGCACGTCGTGCGTTAACATATCAAGAGACTTTAATGGAACCAATTATCTGAGTGGAGGGCTTCAGGATAAAAAGGAGAGGCTGTTGACCTGCAACCTGCCTCTTGAATGAAAGAGCGCCGAGTACGTTCACCACCAGAAAACACACAAACCAGGCCAGGGGTCTCATTTATAAAGGATTGCCTGGAAACCATACTAAAAGTGAACGTACGGCCAAAAGGTGGAAATGGTGTACGCCAAAAAAAATTCTGATTTATAAAACCATGCGTACGCACATTTCTGCGCATCTTTCCTTTATAAATCACAGCCGCATGTCAGAGTTTGCGCACGAGGTCCTGCCTCAGGTTCTACCCTCTACACGCCCACATTCAACCATAAACAGTCAATGCAAAGTACCTCATGAATGTTAAGATGTATTTAAATCAATCAGCTGATCAGCGATTGGTTCAGACACGCTCCTTCGTGCGTCTGGAGGTTGACAGGTGCTGACTGACAGCTGCTCACCTGAACAGAATGTCTGTAATTAACACAGATTTTCCCTCATTTTGCCTTAGAGTAATCTAACGATTTTTATTTTTAAAAAAATACTCAGCTTCAAATTAATTTTCCCTCAGAGCCTGCAGGACGATAAAAACAATAAAAATTAAATTAAATAAGTCAGATAAAATTAGAAATAAGTTCACTGCTCTTCTCCTCGTCCTCTCCCCCTCCTGCCTGCTCTGTTATCCGCGGCAGACCCCCCCACCCGCGCGCGCGCACACACACACACACACACACACACACACACACACACACACACACGAATGCACGCATCCCCCCCGCACGCATGCGTGACAAACACGGACTGGATACACAC